GGCATCCGTGATCCCAACCACCCCCAGAGGACTGCAATACTGACTCAGCTGGCAGTTTGAGGGATCAGGTTTAACCACACTTTCATTCCCCAGAATGTTTTGGAGCCATAAAATGGGAGGTGTATAAAAATGGTTCCCTGGCCTAGAAGTTTGGCATTATGCCACAAGCAACCAAAACCACTACCACCACCACCCATTAATTCAGAAATTGTTTCTGCTCGCGCCCCCCCCCCAATAAATTTCAGCAAGAATGAAAAATAAACATTTCCTTGAATTAAGAGTTATAACTAAAATCTTGGCAAAATAGGATCTGGGGTCATTTTTGAGAGGACCCCTCCTTCAACATATTGAAGAAGGGCTGATGAGATGCATGTGGGTTGGAAGGAGAGACAGTCTTCTTAAAAATGAAAATAAAAACCCTAAAGGGGTAAGGATAGCTGGAAAACGTACGCCGATGCATTTCTCGATACAGGATTGTCAACGCCTGCAAGGAATTGTCATCCGTGGGTTCAAGGGCTGCTACTTCTTGAGCCAAAGTAAATGCTTCGTCTTGTCTCCCAGTTCTTTGCAGGCCAATTGCTTTCAAAACCTGTGCGCAGATCAAATAATATTTTAAGAGGTTTTGAGGCAGCTGTCAATAAGGATAGTCACGAAAAATCCCATTCCAAGAATAATCAACAAAGAAATGGTTTAGTGGGTCAAACGTTAAATCTCAGAAGTTGAACACTAACTCTGATTTACCTTAGGATGCTAAGCCATGCTGAGGTGGACAAATACGTTGAAGAAGAATTACCTACTTCAACAACCCGGAGCTTGATCAACATGGCAAAGTTCATCTCACTGGACAGGGGAAAAACCAGGAGCAACAAAGGCAATGTTGCAGAGGGGGGAAAAACTGCCCCACAAAGGATGACTTCAAAGCTTAGCTTTAAAGTCTGCAGCTCTGGTTGTTCGACCCAGCCCAACCCTTTCTAGGGAGGCGACAGGCAGAAAGCAGACTCTGGCCCTTGCTTATTCAAGATTTAAGACAAAGACAACTTAACAAAATAAACTAACTGTGAGCTCACCTTAGCACAGTGAAGATCTCTGTGTTTTTTTAGCAGTTTGTCTGCTTGCTGGATTGCCATTTTATTATTGCCATTATCAAGATAATCTAAAGAAAAGAAGGGAGAATTACTACAGACTATAAAGTTGAGAATCAGCTCCCCCCCCCACACGGCAGGGTTTCCAGGTGAGCTGGACTACAATTCCCATCCCTGTTGTAATGGATAAAGTAATTGGAATGGGCTCCACCCAATACATCAGTAGGGCATCCTTCTGAGAACAGCTTATTCTCCACGGAAGAGTTTTCTTGTTTGGATTGGAAGAGAGGGCTGCTCTTGGTTTCTGGTGGGAAACGAGTGGCTTCCTCAGATATTTGGTGACTCTTTGGTGGCTGCTTAACATGAGGTTCAACATCCTTAAATCTAACTCACTTTCACAAACCACAGTAGGAAGGTGTTTGGTCTCCAGCTTCCAATCTGACTTGCTGGAAGAGAAACCGGCCAGAACTCCTAGTTATGAGGGGTCCTTGATGCTCTGTTGAGCATGGTTGTTTTCTCCTTTATTGGTAGCTCCTGGTTAATCTATCATACTGAACAATCAAGCTCCTACGGCCTAACCAATCTTGCTGGAACCAAAGAAGAACCAAACAGGCTTTTTTCATGACCTAGCATGAAGCATAGACAATATGAATTCCATCTATGATAGATGCAAAAAGAGATTCTTAATAAGGAAACTTTGTGGATATTTTGCCACCATATCAAAGGAGCAGAGAATTAAAAAGATGTGACAGTCAGCCACAACAAATTACTTCAAACCTGTTAATTCAACTCCTTGAATATTAAGTATGATTCCCAGGCTGGACTTGAGAAAGTTAACAAAGTTTAATGAAGCTTCTAAACAATACACCATAAATTAAAACAAAAAGCAAACTAATGCCAAGGGAAAGACTCTTAGCTCTCATTAAAGAAGGTATTAAATGAGATAAAATCAGAACTTGCCTGGACATTACATTAATTGTAAATGTAAATGTAGTTATATAAAAAAAACCAAAAATGTTTTTATGACACGCACCAATTAATACTAACATTGTTTTGAAATATTATTCAAAATAATACTAAATTGCTTCCAATCTCTTTCAGCATTGTCTTTCAATACAGAATTTGTTCAGCACTGTGGTGTTCATATCTCCAATTTAGAAACTATCTGATATGTACATATAACGTTACGCATTTTAAAAAATGGTTGAGAAACCTTCTTTTCCATTAGAGAGACTGACTGCTCAAAGATTATTTTTAGGAGGCACAGGCAGTTTGTCAAATGTAACATTAAGCAGTTCTGACCTAATTCTTGTGAAAAGAACCAAGTGCAGACAAAACCCTGAAAATGCAGTTGTTGACTTTCATGAGAAATGCAGAAACAGCCAGACTAGCTGGGCCTGTAAAGAGGTACCTTTAAAGTTTGCATTATCAGAAAAAAATCCCAAAGCAATTCTTCTTACCTCTCCCGACTAGCCCTTTTTTTTTTAACTGACAAGTTAGGAAACACTGATTTTAGGCTGAGCTTTTTCTTTTTTTGAGGCTCTCCTGCCAATACTACTTTTTGTCTCATTCATCGGTCTATGCAAAACTGTAAATCACCCTGTCCATTTTTAGTCAATATAAAGATAGAAAAGTGGTATTATGCAATACTGTAGAAAGCAATTTTCTTAAGCAGCAAAAGTAATTTACTTGAAGCCAAGGGAGAGACAAATTGCTGCCTCTGAATGAAAGAAACCATTCCTCATGAGTTTTCAGCTTACTGGGAGAAGCAGCAACAGAGGCTTGCACAACAGAAGTGAAATATGAAGCAATCGAATCAAATAGTGTGTGGGATATACATAACCTAAAGCAAAATAATAATTAATACTTGGACTGGGTTGGAAGAAAGAGGCCTTCAGGAGGCATGTTGAAAGAACAGTTCAAGCATCTCACCAAACTATCCCGATCAAGAGATATATCAGAAATCTTGTATTTATAGGTCAGTCTATAAAAGTCTTTGGAAAAGCCAGGTAGGAGAACCAGGCACCAAACCACCTGTCTTATAGAGAGCCTGAATTGTTTTCACCAAAATAAATACATTTTAAAAATATATTTTTCACCCTTGTTTTTACTTCTTCAGCAAACGGAGTAAAAAGAACACAGGTGGAATCCTCAGAAGTTCACCATCTACGTTTTAAAGTTAAGTTTTAAAGCTCTCTAACACCCAGGGCACTCCAGTGCATGTTCTCACAATCAAAGAGGAAGTCCTGCAAGAAGCTAAACTTCATACCAATTCCTGTTTCTGCAGATTTAATAAGTTCAGGAGGTCTCTATTCCCATTCCTGTATGAATCCTATATCAGCCCTCCAAGTGATTTCTGGATGGTGCCTTTTCCCTCCCTAATCCAACTCCAAAAACTCTGTACTTGGTCAGCAACCCCTGAAAAATGTGGGAAGGATATGTGTATGTGTGTGTATATATATAGATATATAGATAGATACATACATAAACATGCCTATAAAAAAGAGAAGCCAAACATTTTACGGACTCCTTCTTTCTAAGCCACAGATGGCTGAAAAGGTACAATAAACCACATTCTTTGGAGACCCACTACAGAACTGGGGAAAAGCAGAAATACTTTTAAGCATGCTGCATATTAACAGAACTAAAACCAGCACTTTTGAGAGCCTGGGCTGAGAATCCTTTGCACCCCCTGTGACTATATTTATGGAAAACTTTGTTTCATGAGGTCCATCACAAAATGAGTGGGGGGTGGTCGTCTGCTCCCCAAAGGCTTAAGTAGAGTACAATTATGGTTATAAAATAGCATTGCTGGACCTTCTTTTTTTGGGGGGGGGGGAGGGGGGTCTCCATGATTGCACCAGGTAAAACTTTATGAAGCTTTCCTGGTTCTCCCCCCCCCACCCAAAAGCTCTCCCAATAAAGATACTGAGGACCTGGGGGAAAAAAAGGGGGGGGAGAGTTTTCCTCTCTCCCTCACCCCAAATTAAAGGTTTTGCTAACCCCCAATTTAAGGCCACTGCGGGGAAGATTACTCCAAAAAGCCCTTTAGAGGCACCTCCATCCTCCTTGTGCAAAACAAAGCCTAAAAGGGGGTCCCGTCCCACGAGGGGGGGAGGGGAGGGGACCCCTTTAGATGGCACCCCGATACCCCCTCACAGCGCCCCCCCCATAACCCCCGGGGTCCTCTCCCTCAGGAGAAGAGACCCTCCCCCCCGCTTCCCCCGTCCTCTCCCGCCCCCAGAAAGACGGGGGTCCCGGGAAGGGTCCCGGCTCCAGGCGCGGCCCTCGGAGACCCCGAGGAGGGAGGCGTCCGTGGGGCCCGGCCTTCCCCTCCCTCCAAGCAGGCCCGGCGAGGCGCGTGAGGGAAAAGGCGGGAAGCGCGCGCGGGGCCTACCGTAGATGGGCCGCAGGCGCCGGTCGTTCGGGTCCTGCACATGGCCCCGCGCACCCGCCGCCGCCGCCGCCGCCATGATGAGAGCGCAGAACCGCAGCGCGCAGCCGCCGCCGCCGCCGCCACCGCCGGGCCTGCCCGCTCGCCCGCCCGCCCGGCCGCCTCTGCTCGCTCGCTCGCTCTCCCTCTCTCCCTCACGGGCGCCTGGCGGGGCGGGCCGAGGGCGGGCGGGAGGCGGCGCGCCAGGCGAGGCGAGGCCCGGCACAACGGCCCCGCGAGGTGGGCCTCCGCCCCCCGGCCCGCCGGCCTCGCGTAGTCGCCCCCTCAGGCTTTGCGGCCTTGGAGGCGCCGGTGCCTCAGCTGCAGCCTTTGGGGGATGGTGGTGAGAAATCCCCTCAGTTGCGGGCCGTTGAAGCCCCCAGACTCCGGGGGTTGTTTTTCTGGACCTGTGAGAGTCCGTCCCCTCAGCTTTGATGACTGTAACGTTATTAATATTATTAAAGTATTATTAAAGTAAGACCCATCAGTTCCCCAATTGGAGGCAGTGGTGGTGGGTTTCTCCCCTCAACTCTTGAGTATTATAATATTATTACTATTCAACTAACAGTGATCAATGGAGCCCACCAACTCTTAAAATTTGGGTCTGTGAGGAGTTATCCCTTCAACTTTTGAGTAGTATTATTAGTATTCAGCTAATAGCAATATTTACAAAAGCCACCAACCGCTAATTTGGGGTTGTTCCACCAGCTTTGACTTATTATTATTTGGCTAATAGCAATATTTCTGAAAGTCATGGATTACTAAATTTGAATTTGTGAGGGGTTGTTTCCTCAGCTTCAACTATTATTATTTATACTCAAACAATAGCGGTATTTACCAAAGCCACTCACTCCTAATTTGGACCTGTGAGGTATTATCTGTTCAGCTCTGACAATAATTACTATTATTTATGAAAGTTATCGATTCCTAAATTTGGATCTTTTGAGGATGCATCTCCTCAGCTCTGGGTCTCCTTCAAATACTTAAATCCAAAGGTTCTTAATTGAAGATCTGTGAGGGGTTATCCCATCAGCTTTGATTATTATTTATATCCAAGCAATAGCAATATTTATGAAAACCACCAACTCCTCAATTGGCACCTGTGAGGAGTTATCCCCTGAACTGTGGCGGATTCTTCTTCATCAACTAATATTTTAGACAGCCACCAATTCTTAATTTGGATCTGCAAAGGATTATCCCAAATTGTCAGGTTATGCCAATATTGGGCTCATTGGACAGAATATAAAACAGAATTTTAAACTCCTTTTTAGTCCAATGCTTACGATTTGGGACAAAAATAAAGCAGTTTTTTCCCTGTATGATTTTCTGTGCAGAAAAAAGCCTCACTTGCCATCGTGATTCACCTGTCGGGTTGGGATTGGGAAGAGCCAGGTTGAAGTTCAGCAGCCCAACCTTCTCTTTAGTCCAATCCTGGGCAGGCAAATCTGAATAAGTCCAAACTGTGAAAACTTCTGATGAGAAACAGGTGCACCCTGATCTATACTGCCAAAGTGATAACTTGACAACCGAATTCAGCAGAAGAGTCAGAGATGTGGCATGGTCATTCAGATTTCTGTAGGGTGGATGCACATGCTACTCTAGTGTTGTATGTTGAATACAGCCCCTGTATGAGGAGATCCTGCTTTTTAGGGTATGTGAGTCTTGCCCTTCACGTTCACAGCTGGATCCCAGGTCACGACAGTGAGAGAAAAATCCTTTATTAGAATGACTTTTTCTTTGGATCACTTGACATTTGCACAGGCAGTTTCTTTTTATATATCTCCTGCAAATTACATATATCAGCTGATTATTATGTTTTTTTGCTTTGTTTTCTTTCAAGTTAAAGGACTGTGTTGTTTGGGTGGAAAACAATTACAGAAATACTGAATTAAGCTTGCCACCTGGTTAGGAACTGGAAGATAACCCTAATTTGAGTTTGCTTTTTCATTTTCAGAATCTGTTTCAGTTGTATCTTCCTCAGTGCATCTCAGTAAGGTCCAAGCTAAGATTTCTCCTGTGCAACAGACAGGTAAGATGATCTGGCAGCCCAGTAAAATGGCCATATGAATTTAGTAATTTGGATGCTCAGCATTTCTCAGTCTTAAACTCTGGGAATTAAAGTTTGTGCAGTTTAAAGTGGCCAAGGTTTAGAAACAGGGCTGAGATCTTGTCTGGTCTCCAAAGGTTTCAGAGGAGATGGGTCAATCTGGGGGTGTGGTGAAAACACCAGTATAATTCTAAGTAACCTGGCATCATATGGACTGGAGCTTCTGATACAGCAGGAAAATTTTCACCAAAATATAAAACAGCCTTTAAATGTGCAGGCAGGTCATCTTTTCCACCCAAACCTTTAAAAAATGCATTCAGAAGGTTAAAACGTAAAGGATACAAGACTTTGTTCCTGCTGCCTGGCAACTCAGACAGAAGACAAAGCAAGGCTAAGTGGGCAAGGCTAATGCAGATTAGCTACAACATAGCATTGTGGTAGCAAACTGGGGAGGAGGAGGAAGATGGGGGCAGAAGACGGATTTCCTTCTTGGATCCCAATTAGCAAGTCTGCTCTATGGTTACATTATGATTATGTCTGTTCTGGAGGACTGGAAGGTGCTGAGCTATAGTCGCCGTGGGTTTGGGGGCAGAGGCAGGGAGGGGCAAGGAGGCAGCCGTGCAGTCTCAACTCATACTTACCTGGCAGGGGAGACACCATGATCATGAAGGTGGTTTTCCCAGGGTGAGGCTCATCCATTGCACTCCGGGTGTGCTGACCCCTGCGATTTCCCCAAATGCGGGAAACTCGACTGCATAATTTGTGGTAGTGGGGGACTGCGTTCGCGCTTTCCCCTGATCTTGCTGGTTCAAAAGACAGAAAAGTATTTATAATTTCTTGTTTATTGTGTTTTGTGATAGCAATATCATTCTATGATATTGAGCTACATGAGATAAGAATTTAAAATGGTGATAGTTTTCTTGTCTTCAGTGACAGCAGTATCTGCCTAGATTTCCTGAAGATTTATGAAGGAGCCAGTCTCTGTAATTTTATGCCTCAAGATTCTTTACAGAATCTTTTATCTTTATCAGCAGCTAGGGAAATTGGAGAATTGAAGGAAAAAAGTAAGAATAAGAAAGTGTGCATAAATTCTCATCAAATACTTTTTGTCACATTTAGTCTGCAGTTTAAAAAAATAGAAAAACTTGCCATCTGACAATGGGAAGTTGTCAATAGCAACAGTTCCCTTTCTTCAAGAAGCAGCCAAACAAGAAAATGATTGTGTTGCACAATATTGTGTTGATTCAAAGATTCATTGTGCAGGGAGTAAAAGTAAAATACCTGAACAGTGACATTTGCTTAATTTGTGATTTGTAAGCCAATTCTCTTCCAGAGGGAAGAGGAGGAAGTGCAGAACATTCTCTGCAGAATCCAAGCACATGAACAGATTTCGGTGGTCCCTCCTTCCCCTCCTGTGCCACCAATAGAATTCCTACTTACACGCCAGAGGCGTGACAATTGCAAAACGACGCAGATAGACATGCAAATGATTGCATGCGAAGGAATTGTGGGATCAAAAATGGGGTGCAAATCAGAGCTGGCAAAGTACCCCAACACTCTGCAAGCAAACTGGGGAGAGGCAGGATCTCGGCTAAACCTTCCCAGGCTAGCTGGAAATCTTTGGGCAAAGTCACCATGGGTTTAGGGGCAGAGGCAGGGAGGGGCAAGGAGGCAGCTGTGCAATCCCAACTCATACTTACCTGGCAGGGGAGACACCATGATCACGAAGGTGGTTTTCCCAGGGTGAGGCTCATCCATTGCACTCCGGGTGTGCTGACCCCTGCGATTTCCCCAAATGCGGGAAACTCGACTGCATAATTTGTGGTAGTGGGGGACTGCGTTCGCGCTTTCCCCTGATCTTGCTGGTTCAAATATAGAAAAGAGAACTTGGTTTCTTGTGCATGTTGTTTCATTTGTTATCCCAGTATTTGTTTACTGATTTTATAAGCTATTCTTACCAAATAGGATTTCCACTGGGAGTTGGAAGTAGCAGATTTAAATTTATGCTCAGTTGGGAAGTGAAAGAATAAATGCAGGAAGTCTTTTTCGCATCTTTCTCATCCAAGGGGAAGGGATTATGATTGGAGAAGAGGCTGGGCTGCTCGGTATTTCAGATGGAAAGAAATGTATCTTGATTGGATTATCTACTGTTCTTTTTCAGTTCTTTGGTCTTTAGTTTATTCTGATGCTTTATTCCTTCCTTGCATGGCTGTATGAGAATTCTAGAGGAGAGGTGGCATAAATATTAAAAGATAAATTGCACTAGATCTCTTAATATTTTTAGCTAGAAATAAAGACATCCAAAAGCGTGTGAAAAGGGAGTGCAGACGTGTGTGTTCTGTTTCTGAACATTTTGGACAACAGAAATTCGACTCGCCTGATAAATGGAGCTGCATCTTTTTGGAGGACCTCCCGGGTTTCTGTTGGATTCTCTGAAAAAGAACGTAGGTTGATAACAGTGGAGGTTGAGTCTCTGAAGTGATAGTTCTTTGAAGATCAAAGAGAAATGCTAGTTTGTTTCAGTTTCTCTTTTAGTAAGCAATCCTGTGCTGAAATCTATGGCTAGACATGCCTCTGTGAGAAAGCATCATAACCCAAAGGAACTGAGTTGTTTAAGAGTGATCAGGTTACCCTCTAACGGGATCAAAAAGTAGCATGTGCCCAGTTGCTAAGGTTGATGCTGCCAGTCAGAATGTGGACCAGATTCCCTGCAGGCTACAAAGGGAAAGAATCCTAGTGACCCCACCCCCCTTCTGTATTGTGCCTTAGTGGATGCAGTCTGCTGTGTGACTGAGTGACGTAAGCACACATGCAAATATATGTATTGCAAGGCATTGTGGGATCAAAAGCGGGGTGCAAATCTGAGCTCGCAAAGTACCCCAACACTCTGTGCAAGCAAACTGGGGAGAGGCAGGATCTCGGGTGAGCCTTCCTGAGCTTGCTGGGAATTTTCTGGGGGAGTCACCATGGGTTTGGGGGCAGAGGCAGGGAGGGGCAAGGAGGCAGCCGTGCCATCCCAACTCATACTTACCTGGCAGGGGAGACACCATGATCACGAAGGTGGTTTTCCCAGGGTGAGGCTCATCCATTGCACTCCGGGTGTGCTGACCCCTGCGATTTCCCCAAATGCGGGAAACTCGACTGCATAATTTGTGGTAGTGGGGGACTGCGTTCGCGCTTTCCCCTGATCTTGCTGGTTCAAAAGACAGAAAAGTTGTATTTATAATTTCTTGTTTATTGGATCTTTTGCGATAGCAATATCCTTCTGTGATACTGAGCTGCATGGCAGAATGATACAAAGGTTAAGATGGCGATAGCGTTTCTTCATTTCTTACCAGCAATGTCTGCCTGGTTTGCAATTGATGTGTTTTTCCTAAAGATTTGTGAAGGAGCCTGTCTCTTTCATGCCTCAAGAATCTTTGGATTGCATCAACAGTCAGCAGATAGGAAAATATGAGAAAATAAACAGAATAAAAAGGTGCGCATACATTCTCATCAAATACAGTACTTTTTGTTACAGTCTGAACTTTTTAAAGAAAAGAATAGAAAATCAAGCCAAGAGAGCAATCCAACTATGGAAATCACCAATAGGAGCAGTTTCTTCTTAAAGAAGACGGCAAAGAAGAAAATTATTGTGCACAATATTGTGTTGATGCAAAGATTAATAATAAAACGTATGAAAAGTGGCATTTGTTGAAGTACACTCTTGTTCAATAATAAGGGGGAGCTCAGCTCAATCTTTTCAGAATCCGAGCACATGAACAGATTTCGGTGGTCCCTCCCTCCCCTCCTGTGCCACCAATAGAATGCCTACTTACACGCCAGAGGCGTGACGATTGCAAAAGAACGCAGATAGACATGCAAATGATTGCACGCGAAGGAATTGTGGGATCAAAAATGGGGTACAAGTCAGAGCTGGCAAAGTACCCCAACACTCTGTGCAAGCAAACTGGGGAGAGGCAGGATCTCGGCAGAGCCTTCCTGAGCTTGCTGGGAATTTTCTGGGGGAGTCACCATGGGTTTGGGGGCAGAGGCAGGGAGGGGCAAGGAGGCAGCCGTGCCATCCCAACTCATACTTACCTGGCAGGGGAGACACCATGATCACGAAGGTGGTTTTCCCAGGGTGAGGCTCATCCATTGCACTCCGGGTGTGCTGACCCCTGCGATTTCCCCAAATGCGGGAAACTCGACTGCATAATTTGTGGTAGTGGGGGACTGCGTTCGCGCTTTCCCCTGATCTTGCTGGTTCAAAAGACAGAAAAGGCTCTTTACTTCTTTTCATCAGTCCTTCGCTAGCTAACATTGATCCTTTTTTTGAATAGTTGCCTCCCTCTCTGCTTTGGCTTGTCTGTTACGTCTTCATCACCCTCCAGAAAATGTAGTTTCATTCCTTTCTGTGTCCTGTCCTGTCACAGAGATAGTTGAAGAGTCAGAACTGCTCATATGTTGGTGTCAGAACACAAATTCTGCATGTTTATATATAGTCTTTCAGATACGGACAAGCGTTGTTTATTTTGGGCTCCTTCTGAGAACCTCCGTGATTCAAAGCAGGAATGAGGCTTATTTTCAGCACATGAGCTGTGGGGGCATTTTGCTTGCTTTGCCGTCCTGAAATGGCAGGATTGAGCGTGACGCGAGAGGCTCTTTTAGTAGGACGGAGAGATCAGGGAACAGAAGGGTAGCCTGAGTCATGCCTGTGCCAGGTGCAGCAGCCCTCGCTAGCCATAGGCGAAGCCAGGTTGCCCAGTGGGCCAGAATGGCAGCCCTGGCCCCGTTTCAGCCCGAGTCCCAGCTCTTCTCGGCAAGTGGTGAAGCCTAATCCGGAGGCTCTTTGAACGGCCTGTTGCTGCCCACATAAGCCCCATCTAGGAAGGGAAGGGCTCCGGTTTCCTCTGCTTACACATCCTGGCCCTCGGCGTCCTGTCGCTTGCCCCAAAGGGAAACTGTGCCATGGATGGATGCGTATCTTTCTCCCCACGTCACTGATTTATGAATGGACGGTCTTGGCTCAGGATTCCGGTTGTGTCAGCTGCTGGGTATAGTTTTCCCTTGGGATGGATCTGCCTTCATTCCCCCGGCCTTTCTCGGAACCTTCGCAGCCTGGGGGTGTGTGTGGGGGGGCTCTGAGATAGTGAAAAGGCAGGGGATGATGGGAGCTGCGTCTGATCAGGGCAGGGGCTGGCTGACTGGGAATTCTGGGAGTTGGAGTCCAGCCCTCTTTCAGTTGCCAGGCTGGACAAATACAGGCAGTCCTCGACTTTGGACCGCCATCGAGCCCAACATTTCTGTGGTTGAGTTTTGCCCCATTTTACGACCTTTCTTGCCACGGTTGTTCCGCGAATCCCTGCACCGAGTAACCCGGTTGCTGGGCTGGGCCGGTCAGCGCGGGGGGGGGGGGGTCCCTGGCTGGGCTGCCGGGGAGGGGGAGGGGGGGCTGGAGAACTACGGGCGCCGCTAGGGGGCCCCAGGGGCGGTGGGCGTGGCCTACCGCGTGACGTCTCGCGCGGAGGCCGGTGACCCTGGAGGAGGAGGCGGGGAAGGAGGCGGGCGGGAAGCCAATCCGGCCAGTCGGAGCTCGGCGGCCTCAACGGCGGCCAATCGCGAGCCGGAGGGCGGGGCTCGGCAGGGCCGAGGCGGTGCAGGGTCGGGTCGCGGCTGGCAGAGGAGAAGCGAGAGGCGAGGCCGGCGGGTGAGCGGCGGGAGGGGCCCTGGGGGTGGGGGGGGGGCGGCCTTCCCCCCCCTCTGCCTTCGGGAGCGATCGGGGGGGCGGGAGAAATCGAGGCCCTTCGCGGGTTGGGGGCGGCCAAGTACTCCCCTCTTCACAACAGCCCTGCGGGGCAGGCCAGATGCGGCAGCGCTGCCTTGGCTACGCGCGAGGAAATTGGCCCGGCGGTTTTTCCCGGAGGGAGGGAGGGAGGAAGCTGCGTTGGGAGGGGGAGAAGGGGGGGCGAGCCGCCTTTCCACCCATTGGAGTTCCTGATGGCTGAGCCTGATTCGAAACGAAGGGCGAATAAACAGCCCCCGAGTCTCCCTTTTCCTTCTCCAGCTCCACTGACTGAAGCCAGCAGCCTTTGCGAAGAGACCTCCAGAGAAAAGACTTTCCTTTCCCATTCAAGGCGTTTTGGGTAAGCAGCCTCAGTTTTTCCACGCAGAGAAACGGGCGTTTCATTCGTGCCACTCCAGAGGAGGTAAGGGGGAAGGCAGTGGGCGATGGGATGCGGCCCCCTGCTTCTTCCTGGACAGGTGGGCGTCAGGACAAGCCTTGCCCAGGGCCAGAAGGCCTGGCTGGATTCTAGAACCTGCCAGACAATGGGCAGCGGCAGAAAAGAGGCTCCGGTTGAACCATTTACTTCTGGCCCGTGTGGGAGTACAGATTGGCAGGCAGCGCTGAGGCCTGCCACTGGGTAAATTGGCCGCCTTGCCACCAAGCCTCTGCACCACTCTCTGATTCAGTAGGTTGCCATGCTCTCACAATGGCCCTGAAGGTAATGCCAGGCTCTCAGAGGCAGCGAAGTTGCTGGTGAAGGAGAGAAACTCTGAGTAGGAGCAGAATGAGTAAGCCTCCTAGTGAAACATCAAGAAAAGAAATCATCTTTTTTTTTTTACTAGGTTCCTGGAACAGCAGGGAGATGGCTGCAGTGGCAGAACAGGAAAGTGAAACTCAACTGTGCAACAATTGGTAAGGGCTGGGAATTGAATGTTTTTGTTCTCTGCTGCCTTCTGACAGTTTGTGTGTGTGTGTGTGTGTGTGTGTGTGTGCTGAGCCACTTAAGCCTGTGCTTTTTCGGATAGCAGAAGGGAGTTGGGTTTAAAAAAAAGGTGACTAGATTTTGCAAAAGTTTCTGTTTGTCCCAATACCCTTAAAAAAAAAAAGTTTGGCATTGCAACATGCCCTGTCCATGTGCCTCTTACAGTCAAAAAGATATTCCTCTGGCAAACTTTACCATCCATGAGATTCACTGCAGTCGGAACATCGGGGTCTGTCCCCTCTGCAAGGAGTCCTTCCCCAAAGCAGAGATGAGGACTCACCAGGAACAGGAGCACGCACAGGTGATCAAACCAGGTTGCCTCCCCCTCCCCCACTATGCCCTCATGTCTCCTCTAGATGAGACAGACGTAATTCTGCAACCTTGACCCTGACCTGCATTTCTTTCAAACCCTAGATTGTCTGTAAATGCAGCATGAGAATGGACAGAGGACTCTTACAGGATCATGTAGTGAGTAAGCTAATCGTTGCCTGATTTTGTCCACCGAAATACTTTGGGGGACAAAAGATTCGCTATAAGACGGTGGGATGTACTCCTGAAACAGGTGCATAAAACATTACAGCCACAACCTCCTTTTGGGGATGACGAGCCATTTCTGCCTTCCTCTCACAGGCTTTCGAGTGTCCCTTGCGGCCTGTTGCATGTCAGCACTGTGACATTGAGCTGGCTTTCTGCAAGCTCCAGGACCACGAAGATTACTGTGGGGCCCGGACCGAGCGATGCGGCCGATGCAACCGCAACGTCATGTTGCGCGAACTGAAAACGCATCCCATCGACTGTGGGAAGAAGGCTGGGGCGGGAGAGCCAGGCGGCCAGGCGAAGCCGCCTTTCTACCCCGAGGCCCCTTGGCAAAGCGTTCAGACCATCAGGAACGTCCTGCGGCCGGATTCTGCTGGAGAGTCGCCCCTGAGGGGCAACCGGTTCCTGGAGAGCCAGCTGCACAGTTGGGTCTCAGGTGATCAGTTGCCCAGGGAATCCAGCTGGAGGAACCGAGACCCATCCCAGCCAGATCGCAATCGAGGTAAAGGCCCCCAGGGCGAAACAATCCCTCTTGCTGCCCTTTTGCTAAATGGGCTCTTTTCTAAATGCGCCTCTTGAATTCAGAGGGTCTCTCTCTCTTCCGAGGCTTCGAAAGCAACTCCTTGCATCCTTGTGTTTGTGTTGCTGCTGGGATGAAGGGTGACAGGTTGGCATCTCATGCTGTTCGGTGTTTGTTCCCTGAAGCCTGTCTGGAAAAGACGACCCCCCCGCTGCCTGTGGACGGAGAGTCGGACTTGGATTACCTGCTGGCGCTCAGCTTGCAGCATGAAAATAGCTTCGGCCAACCCAGTGTGGCCGAGCTCCACAGAGAACTCTGGAAGAACATCTGTCCCCCCCAGACCAGACCAGCTGACCACTGTGGCAAAGCAAAGAACTCCAGGGACCCCTCTCAAGATTTGCTGGTAGCAGCCAACAATCTGAACAGGCCCAAAGGTACGTCGGTGTTCGTGGTCGCTTATCCAGGGATTGCAGGGACAGGAATGGCCATGCTATAGAAAGGACCCCAATGGCCCTTCCCTACTCCTAAGCTGCTCTTGGGGGGTTCACTGTCCTTGGCGGAGGAGTTGTCTGTGTGAGCAGGTGGGCCAAGGGATTGAGAAGAATTTCGAAGGCGGAGGTGGCAGCTGGATGGCTGTAACCCAGTTTTGAGTGCTTTCTCTTCTCCTTCAGCGGAGACCCTGCTGCCTTGCGAATTCTGCGAGGAGCTGTACCCCGAGGGAGACCTAATCCTTCACCAGGTGGGCTGTCCCATCTTCTGGGGCTGAGAGAGAGATGGGTGGGGGGGAGGGAAAGCTGACCAAGGCAGAGGACAGAAAGAGGGGCTGTGAAGAGATCACCCCGTTCAACTCTGCCCTTGCTCAGTGCCTCCTTCCTTTGC